GAGGAGGAGGAAGGAGCTCCGAGCCTCTCTGTGCCACCCCTGAATCACCTGGAACGAGGGGAAGCTCCCGAATACCTGACAAGGAAAATCCAGGTGTGGATCCAGATGTGTGCCGGTGCTGGCTGGCCTGGAGAGGGTTGTGAGGAAAATCCTTGGGATTGGTGGTGGGCTGGCACCTGCTAAACCCATCCTGAGGGGATTTGGGGAGGAAAGGGAACAGCTGGGATTTCTGCAATGCCACTGAGCTAACCTGGAATTCCTGATGAGGAGGAAAAAGGAGGAAGATTTGTCCATCAGCAGGGAATGCTCCCCATGCTGGGATGGCCCCAGTGCCCCTCATTTTGGGGTGGTGTTTCCCTCCCCTCTGCTCCTGGAGGTCTGAGTGCTGATGAACTCACCCAGGGGCGCCTCAGCACGTTCCTCATTGTAGAGTGAGTTTTCCCCTCCTGCCAGCTCTCCCTATTAACGCTGGCACCTTGTGGGCGGCGCAAAACCCGCTCATTATCCACTTTTTACTACAAAAGATGGAATTCTCCTCCCCGAGCGCTGCGGAGAGTAGGCAGAGTGAATCCCTGGGAACGCCTGGGTTTGAGCTTCCATGGGTGACATCCCTCTGCTGAGTGCTGGGAGGGCAGGAGGAGCTGGTGGCAGGGACCAGAACTGGGATTTGGGGGGCTCTGAGTGCAGGACAGGTGGGGTGATGGGGATGAGGTGGCTGGGGAGGTCTGGCTGTGCCACACAGGGTGACATTAATGCAGAAAAAGCCACCAGGTGGGCTTGAATCTGAGGAGGAATCAACACCTCCAGGCCACAGAGGGATCTCTGCCCACCCTGAGGTCTGCAGGGCTCAGATCCCGTGCCCCCTGCTCGGGCTCACGGGCTCCGTGCGTGGCTGTTAAATATCTATAAAAATATCTATATTCTGTATATTTAGCATCCCTGCTCTGGGTAACCGTGGCAACCGGGTTTATTTTGCTTAAACCTGGCCTGGCATGTGATGTGGTTGGGAAGGAACAGCCAAGGAGAGAGGGAGGGATGAAGTTCTCCATGCTGGGAGCTGGGGAGGAGCCTCGGCACGGGATGATCTTGGGGGGGACCTCGTTGTGTCCCTGCACTGGGGACAGCCACCAGCATTCCCACGGCTCCAAACCAAGGGAAGGTTTGGTTTTTAGGGGTTCCATCCCCATTTTCTGCTGGGCTTCCCAGTACACCCCAAGCCCTGTTCCCTGTCTGGTGTAGGTTTGCCAAGCCCAGGTCCTGGCAGGAAGAGGTGGTGATGGTTTCCCTGGTGTTTGGAGCCGTGTGCCCTCACCTGGATCAGCAGGAGCCATCCCAAGGCAGAGAAGAGACCTTCATCATCTCCACCAGAACCTCTCCAGGGTGGGCTCCCAACCCCTGATCCCAAGCAGCACCTGCTCCCCCCCAGGACACAGCAGGCGGCCTCTCCTTATCCTTACAGGCCCAAATTGTGCTGGAATTCTCCATTCGTGGTGATTTGAGGCCGTTTCGTTCCCGCGCCGATGTTCCATCCCAGTTTTCCTTTCCAGGGACACCCCGAGCCCTGGGGACCCCTCAACCCTGGGGGACCCCCCAATCCCTGAGAGTCCCCCAATCCTGGCAGTTGTTCCCAGTCCCCAAAGACCCCCCCATTCTTTGGGGTTCCCCATCCCCGAGGACCCCCCAGGCCCTGGGGATCCCCCCCATTCTTAGAAGTCCCCCCAGTTCCTGGGGATCCCCCAGGACCCCAATCCCTGCACACCCCCATCCTTTGGGACCCCTCCCCATCTTTGGACCCCTCCCCATCCTTTTGGCCCCTCGCCATCCTTAAGGACCCCCCAAATCTTTGAGCCTCCCCTCTTTGGGACCCCTCCTTATCCTTTGGGCCCCCAAAGCCTTTGAGCCCCCCATTATGTGGGACCCCTCCCCATCTTTGGAGCCCCCAAATTCTTTGGGCTCCTCCCCATCTTTGGGACCCCAATCCTTGGGACCCTCCCCATTCTCTGGAACTCCCCCAAACTTTTGGGCCCCCCCCCCATCCTTTGTCCCCCAAATCCTTTGGGCCCCTCTCCGTCTTTTGAGGCTCCCCCAAATCTCTGAGGCCTCCATCCTTGGGACCCCTCCCCATCCTTTGGGACCCCTCCCCTTCCTTTGGGCCCCCAAATCCTTTGGGCTCCTCCCCACCTTTGGGACCCCAACCCT